CTTTTATAAAGAAAATACTTTTATTAAAATATTTTTAAAACTTTGAACTTAAATTAATGCAAAAGTTACTAATTAATATAATATTTTATTTTGATTTTATTTAAAAAACATTATAAATTTTATTATATACTTAAAATTAACTTTAAAGTATAAGTAAAATTCCTTTTAAATTTGGAAGGAAAACCATTGAAGGGATAATTTGCCTTGGATAGAAATTGAATTAAAGTCTATTTTATAATAAAATTTAGTTGTTATTAACTAAAATAGGATCATTAGATCCTCTCAAAAACTTTAAAATTTGATTTTATGAATATTATAAAAATTTAAAATCAAATAAATATTATAATTATTAGATTTTTTAAATTATGATTTTATATTTATTTTGGCTTTATAATATTATTGAGATTAATACAGTATAACATTATATTTTGAAAAAAATATCATTCTATATTATATTGGTTTTCTTATATTTAGTAAAAAGCTTTGCTTTTGTATAACTATTATTAATAATAAAACAAATTTAGCATAAGATAATAAATTTAACTTTAAAATATGATGATATAAATTCAAGTATTTTATAAAATAACTTAATCATTAAATTTTTACACTTATATTAAACTTTATATCATAATAAATAATAATAATAATAATAATAAATCAAATAAAAATAATTTAAAATAAAAAAAATATAAACTTTTTTTTAATGAAAAATAATAATGTATTTTTGATATTTTTATATAAAATTTATTAGTTTAATAAGATATGATATAAATCTGATCAATTTTAAAGAAGTTTTATAATCTTAACTATATTTTCTTTTTAAAAAAAATTCCTCTCAATACTCATATTAAAAGATTTTACTAGTTAAATATTAATTATTTAATATTTCTTTTTATTTAATAATAGATTATATATTTTAATCTTGTTGATTTCCTTTATCAAAATGCTTAAATTACTTTTTGAAGTTATTATACAGATAAAAATAAAAATAAAAATTTTATGAGATAATACAATTATAAAAAACATAAAAAATATAAATAACTTTATAATTATTAATCCATTCATAATAAAATTTATATTCACATATTTTCAAATCTATTGAATAACTTTACTTATATAATTAAAGTCATTATTATTTAACTAAAATGCTTAATTACTCTTTGAAATCACTGAACAAATAAAAAAAGATTTTTATAAGATAATATAATTATAAAAAATATTTATATATTTAAAACAATTTTAACTGTTTTACAATTATTAATCTAATCATAATATAATTTATATATATATATTTTGAATCTTTAATTATATAAGTAACGTTATTCAACAGTTGATTTATTTTAACCAAAACACTTTAATATCTTTTTAAAATAATTGAACAAATAAAAAAAAAATTAAAATAATTTATTAATTAATATAATTGCAAAAAAATAATTATTATTTAAAATTTGACTTTTTGATTATATTAAATTATAAAGTAATTATACAAACAACTTTATAAGATTATGAAAAAAAGTAAGTTTAAGATATTTTAAAAAAAATATATATCAAAAAATTTTCTTAAATTTTTTATTTGATTTGATTTGATTGGTTAACCTAAAGTTTATTATATCAGGTCATAAGTTTAACCTGATCTGATTAGGTCAAATCAGGTCATATATTAACCTAATATCTTTTATCAAAAATAATAAATTCATAATATTGAATCCAGAAATTTAATAAATTATTTTAAAATTAAAAGTAATTTTACTTTTAATAAAATTTATAAGCAAAATCCATGCTAATAATATAAGTTCTTTTATCATAATCTAATTTTTTTTAACTTTATAACTTTATTAATAAATTATATTGTTTATCTTTATATATGATTGTTTCTTAAAAATAAAAGCTATGCATTTTAATTTAATAGAAAAAATACTAAGATTATAAAACAATATAAATCAACTAAGAAATGTAATCATATTATACTATTAGTTTACACAATTTTGCATAAATTAGCATAAAGAGATTCTTGGTTTAAGTTAGGCTTACCTATAAATTTTTGTTATTTATTGATTATTTAAAATAGTATTTAAAATATATACAGTAGCATAAATGTTAATATTTTTATGGAATTTAAATACCACTATCATCATTATGTAATCATAATATTACAATCTTTAAAAAAATAATGTACAATTGCATCATTCATTATTAAATTCGCGCACTCTTGATTCTTAATGGCGGACCCAGGATCAATTCTTCCGCATTCTACCGCAACTTCTTCACCAGAACAAGATTTGTTACATAATAATTCTTGTATTCGTTTGCGAAAAATTGATAGTGAGCATAAAGAAATTAAACAAACCGCTGTTAAAGCTTTACATCAAAATTCTATAATAGCTATGCATGCGATTGCAAGTGGTGAGGTAAATTGACCTTAGGTCTAAGGTTTTTTTTTTTTATCCTTCATAATTTTTGCTATTTGAAATAGTCTATCTATAATATTTTGTATAAATAGTCACCTGCTAGAACTAGGTTACGGATGTTACGTTATTTAACAAGTTTACCATAACATATGTATCGGTATTTCACGTCACATTATTTTTTATAATTAACATCTCATTTTATTATTTTGTAAATTTTATAAATAATCTATTTCTATTTCTTTAATTAGAGAAAACTAAATTAATTAAATATTATAATTTATATAAATAAACGCGTAATCTATTTATGTTATTATAATATTATTAATGCTTAAAAGCTATATTATTTATTATAATCTTTTGTTTTAAATTGATATATATATATATTTTAAATTTTGACAAGTTTTTAATGTATCTAAAAAGTACATTAAACTCAGATTTGACCCTTCCATCCCCGAATTTCGGGGACAGTCACCTTCTTCCCCTTAAATTCTACTATTCCTCGGATCTTTTTATCACCAGCAATTATAGCAACTGGTATAGCACTAGGTTGACCCATGCTCAATGCTGCTTTTTGTTTTTCGTTCTTTGGGTCTATAGGTGTGATCCTTTCATCGCATAAAGGACATTTATATTTGGCTTCAGTATTCTCAACTAATTCTTGGTATTTCTCTGGAGTGATATCATCATCACACTTTATGTGAATCCATCTGTCACATACATCACAGCATATCATTTCTTTATCATCTTCACTATCTTCGCCATCCTCCGAATAAGTCTTCAGACACATTGGACAAAATCTATCCTCGAAAAAGTTGAAATTGCATTTTTTACAAATCGTCGCCAGATATGTTGGATATCTGGTTGATTCAGATGTTGCCTCTGAATGACTATAATTTTTGGCGGCATCATTCAATGAGACAGCTTTTTCTCCACATGAGTTGCATTGAGCACATAACGAACACAACCATGGACCTATATTAAACAAGATTTATTTTTATGATTAAAAAATCAAAATTGAATAATATTACAAAATTAATAGATCAATTCTTACCTTGGGGAACTTCAGTAACTTTTGGATCACTACAATTTAGGTGCCAACCACGATCACAGTCATCGCAGATTAAAAGTGTCGATTCGTCTTCAGAGGAATGACAAACAGCGCAACTCTTGCAATCATTACAAATCCAAGGGTATCCTTCCATCGCAATAATAAGTCTTGGGGTTGTAAGGCCTAAACAAATTGGATGATACTGTTTTAAGCAATTTGCGCATTTGGTTTTGTATTCCATTGAACATGGCACTCCGGTGGCAGTTTTAGGTACAGCAGAATCAGGAGCGATAACTAACAAGCATATTGCGCAAGTATCATCATGAAGTATAGGTAAAGGTTGAACCGCACTTGAACTAGATGCAACAGCAGGACTTGACACGATACTATTATTCATAGACTATTGATGATCATAAATGAGTTAATGTTAAGTAATAGCAAAGAAAATTTGAATTATATTTAATGGATCAATTATTTTAACCTGAACTAGATCTGAATCTATCATATCAGGCATAGTCCTTGATAGGATGGTTCCGTCTGGGGTTACCTCAACATCTTTATGATACATGCACTTGTCTCCTTCGAAAGACACTCCGCGTCTACAGGGTTGTCCGGTTGTAGCAGTCAATACACCACAAATATATTGGGGAGGCGTTTTTGCTGTATTCTGGAAAAATAAAAAACAAAAATAAAGATATTAAATCCACATCTACAATATTATACAATAAAAATAATTTAAGATTATTGTCATGTTTGAAAAACATTGACGTACTAGATCATCATCAGGATAATAGTAACACTGTTCGTATGAAGTATCATCTGTAGAAAGTGATGTCAAAATTGATGGTTGTGAGGTGGATACTTGATGATAAGAATGTTTTAGAACTCTGGGAATATCCTGACCAAATCTTGTACGATGTCTAAAAATCATTAATAAAATGTAATTAATTTATAAAAAGCAAGTATATTAAAGTATTCATTTTCCTAAAAAAAATAATGACAGTTACATTGGATATTTAGATTGGAATTGATCATCCATTAATGCTATAGGATACTTATCATCAGGAACTTGTCTTGTATCTTCTTCATTTCCCATACTATCAACAACCTGTCGAATCTCAGGGGGCAAAACTTCCAAGACTTCTGCACTTAGCGTGCTAAGAGGATTGTAAGGAACTGTCGCAAAATGAATCTCTGGGTCTTTCGTTGCTATTATAACATCACTCGATAGTGGTAATCCTGTTGGTTGCGATAAAGATTCAACCCATATGCGCGTAGGTTGAGTTGCTTGAGGTACTTGCTCAATATCAGTATGAGGATCATAAAATCTTGGCTTTTCTTTCCTATGGATTTTCAATCGAGTATTATAATCTCTTGATGATAAAGCCGTTTGATACATCCAATTTGTCTTATTGATCATTTTACGTGGCTTTGAACCCAAATACACTCGCCGTGAAAGAATATTACTTGTACTATCTACACCTGATGCTTCTTCTCCTTTATCACTCAGATCGTCATCGTTAAATCTGATTGAGGATTCATAATAATCATCTCTCCTCCTTTTCCCTCCTACGATAATTTTTGACCCAAATAACTTGTATGTAGATCTGGCTGATACGAGCGTAATTGCTCTGCTTCTGAAATTTGATGGCAAAAATCCGTGCGTAATAAGGTAATCACGTTCTTGATTCGTTGCATGTATTCTTTTCAAAGTTGGGTTTCGCAAAAAAAATAGATAACTGTCACGAAAACCCAAAAGTTTTGCAGGATCCATAGATAACATGTACCAGGTGTTTCCTCGTGATGGCAATTGAAAAACTGATACTTTAAATTTACGACCACCTAACAAATCACCATCTTTTGTAATTTTCAGTTCTCCTTTTTCATCTATTTTACCATCATCTTCATCTCCCTCAAAATCATCAATATCCATTGGTTGCGTTGTCAGTTCACCAACCTTTTGATGAGCTTTAACAAAACTGCCATCTGTTTGCTTACAATATAATGTAGTCTCATCATCATCATCATCATCATCAACATCACCATCACCATCATTATCATTGTTCGATATTTCATCATCAGATTTCTTTCTACGTTTTTTATCAACATCATCCTTTGTTTTCTTTCTACGTTTCGTAATAACAACGTCATCTGTTTTCTTTTTACGTTTTGTACTAGTAGGTGTACTAGTTACAGATTCTGGATATTTACGCGGTCTACCAGGTCTACGTTTTACCGGGGTGGCAACAATGTCATTTGATGGCGAAGGCTGTGAAGGTTGTGAAGGCTCAGGATTAACAGTATAACGTATTCTTAATCTTCCAGATCTGACAGTGGGCTGTGGTGTTTGTTGATTTTCTTGAGATGGTTGGTCGATATCTGAATCTGTAGCTAATGATTCCGTAATAGTTTGTGGAGATTCTACCTGCTCTTCTTCTACTTGCTCTTCTTCTTTAGGAAGAGTAATTTCTGATACGGGAGCCTGTTTGTTACCCTTTCGTGCAGCAGAACGTGTTTGTCTTGGAATAGGAGCAGGCTTAGAACGCGTATTGCGTCTAGGTTTTCCTCTTACTACAATTATGTAAAATTAGAGATCACATGTTTATTAGAAATCTAACGCGAAAGATTCTATTCACACAACTTGACCAAAACCTTGACATAAAAATTTTTTAAAAAGTACAAACCTCCTCGAGGCATTTTATAGGCTGTAATATCAAAGAGACGCTTTGTAAAATGTAGAAAGAAATTTAGAAAGAACTAAATTCACGTGATAATGATATAAAGATATGATTGGTTCTCATGATTTCACGCTCTGTTTGTTTTTTTTTTTTATTGGGTTTCACAATTGAATGAAATGACCGTTAATTAACTGAACCATTTTGGTTAATTTTGAATTGACCAATCAAATCAAAGAAACTTTTAGATGATTGATCAACAATTTTTTTCGTGCGAAAGTTATGGTAAATTTTACCTCTTTAATATATAAGTTCAACTTTTTAAAGTATATTTTCAATAAATTCTTTGGTTTTTTTTTTAAAAAAGGGTAAAAATAAAGGGAGCTATTTGAAACTAATAGACAACTTTTACATTGAAAATAATGATATTAAACCAAGTTTATATTCTTCTGTAAAATGCAATTATTATTCTAAGTTTTTAACAGGACTGTTCCTTTAAGAATGCAAGCTTATATTAATAATGTTTAAATATACTAAATAATGCTAAATCCATTTCAATACAAAATATTATACTCTTCAATATACAAAATAACTTCCAACTTATATAAATACACCTTTTTATGAAACAAATAGACCTACCCTATGAAAAAATCCCATACAGTTTTTGTGTCAAAAAAAACACTACAATTTTCGGACTGTGCAGGGTGCTAAAACATGAAATAATCCTAATACCTGTACATTCAAATTTTTAGCACATTTTTCCTACAACATCAGAATTAGGAAAATTCACTGTACTAATCAATATAGTTTTTGTATGATTATTTTCTAGCTTAAATTTATTATTATAAATAGTATTTTTTGTCTGCTTTGATAGTTTACTTTGAATGCCAAGAAAGGTTTTAAAGTTCAGTTTATTATCGTTATTATTTGCAATTTTTGTAAAAATTAATTAATTTAATTTATTCACTTTTAGTAATATTAAATTTTCCATATGTTGATAAAATACTAAATTATACAAAATCTGTATGTTTTAATTTTTCAATACAATTTTAGCACAACTTTTATATATTTCAAATTTCAAATTTTTTTTGTATGATTTCTCTATATTAAAATTTCTGTACAATTATTTTTGTATGAAAAATTGAAATAATTACACAAAAATGAATGATTTAATATATACCTATATGAATTCAGTACAAAACCTGTATAACATTTTTTCATAGGATTAAGAAACAAATTAAATTAGATAATTTATTGATAGTATGAAAAAGAACAAGAAGCTCTTAAATTTTTACTAACACAGATATTATATTCAGCTTAAAGATGGGAACTGTAATTAATATGTTGTAACTTTTAATGTTGCAACTTACGTTGCAATTAGTTTTAACCTATACAGTCAACCCTTGATATAACGAATTTTATGTCCTGAACTTCAACTTCGCTATAGAGCTATAGTGAATTTTT